CGAAAGACCCTCCATTATTTAAACGCTACTTTGCTGATAACTGACTGATAACAAGCAGCTTTTGTGGTTTCTCGGTGCTCTGAACGTTTTATACGATTTCGGTAAACTTTTATCTTGTAGTGGTTTAAGTTTCTAAACCTAGTGTTGGAGGTTTTTGGTTTGTTTCGGATGACCTGAAGTGAAGTTCTTCCAGTAGCTGGGGAGTATCTTCATTACCCTTGTGTTACTTGATCCACCATTTTTTTTTTCGTTAGGTCCACGTACGGAGCCAAGAACTTTCTTCCCGCTCAGTTTAGAATTTTTACAACGCCATCGCCTTTCCCTTAGATTGTAAATTGTGTGGTATTAGATTAAGCTGAGCTCTGTGTTCGTCTAACACTGCATTTCTGAAGCCCACAGGTTTAAAAACTATCTCCATTGGCGCTGCTTCCAACTGTACAATATTTATTTTTATAATTAATTCTGATCCGGCTTTCCAATTTCAAGGAAAGTTGGTGATTGTGTTTTACCATTTACATCAAAATTTACGCAGTTATCTTTTTCTGTTTTTGTTATCGCAGAGGATTATTTCAATTTCGCTAGCAGTAAGCCAGTTTCTAGTCAAAAGTGGTCCCTTGCGTATTATATTTCTTTCTAAAATCCTTTCCACGTGTCTGTCAGTTACCAAGTAACAATATTAAACAAATTTCACACACTACTCGCTGTTTGTTTATTGTAGTCAGACCCAGTGACGTGCCTGGCACTCGTACGTTACAACTTTTAGTATTTATGATATGTGTGAAAAGGATTTAGGGGAATTCTGATGATGGTGAGGGGTTGTCCGCGAGCAGGGAATATACGGGGAATCCGATGGTTGAAGCGGTTTTTTCACAAAGGAAGCGAGATCTATTGTCTTGGGAAACTGATAGATGACTGGGATGTTCTTGGAGAAGTATACTTTTATTGAAGATTTCCGTCTTCTTGGTTGTTGCGCTGTGTAGTCTGGTCGATGTTAACCAACCTCTGAAACGTTGGTTAACATCGACCAGACTACACAGCGCAATAACCCAGAAGACAGAAATCTTCATACTCTGATGATGGAGGCAGTATGACCTCTGAAACGTTGGTAAACATCTACCAGACTACACGGCGCAACAACCCAGAAGACAGAAATCTTCATACTCTGATGATGGAGGCAGTATGACCTCTGAAACGTTGGTAAACATCGACCAGACTACACAGCGCAACAACCAAGAAGACGGATATCTTCATACTCACCGCTGTGAGAACCTCAAGTCTTATATACTTTTATTGTCTCTTGAGAGACACAAACGTAAAATCCAATCACACTTATTGTAAGGTAGCACAGTGTTTCGAATGTTTTTCTTTATATAAAATTTTACGTGAATAAAACGTATCTGATCGATTGAAGAACCAAAACTTCATGACAATTCCTTCTTATTTTGCGAGTATTTAACATCAAAACACAATGCCTTGGCCTTCATCCCATCCCCAGTTCATGATCCCCGTTCATGTGTGCCGTTAACGATGACAGTGGTTCCGAAGTGACTCTGAAATGCGTATTATATTCCTGTAACATCCAATAATATCGATAAATCTGCAGCAGAATTGACACTCGAATTATAAACGAACGATCATCGAGATATGTTTTATATATTTTGAATATCAGTGCGTATTTCGTGTCGTTGGAAAAAATTTCGGACAGAAATTGTTTTCAGAAAAGCGACGAACTTCTGTCTATATAGGAAGTGTCCTTCGCCTTTGTAGCTCAACTCTCGACTTGCCGTTAGCAAAACTATGGAACTCAGCGCAGAACTAGGCATGTACAGGCGTTATTTACAGATTTCAACCCTCTTAGGCCTAAATATCCACCTTTTGAACAGATTCTATTTATTTGTCGTACGATTTATAGATTGAAATACTTCCTAACGTCATTATAAGTTGTTAATACGAGGCGCGTCCACAAAGTAAGTTTCCCACTCGTCCCACAGCTAGCAAACCTTATATTGCGCGAAGCGACTGTGCGTACGTGATAGAGCAATGACGTAGCATGGCGCATGCACTAACGGCAC